GGGGGGGGGGAGGGGTGAGGAGCATGGTTTGAGCCTTCTCTGCATCCATAGCTCTAGGTCCTGGGATGGGCCAGACACTATGCCTCAACTAAGTGCAGCTGCCCGGGGTGTTTGAAAGGGCCCGGTGTGCAAGAGCCTCGTGGTTGCGCAGTGACCCCTAGGCTGGAACAGCAGCGCGGCCGAGTTCTCCGCTGCATGGGAGAAGTGTGTGGGGGGGGGGTAAAAGGCGGGGAGAGAGGAAGGCTGAACTCGAGCCATGGACTGCATGTGCCACTCAAAATCAGCTCACATGCCACTTATGGCACGTGTGCCATATGTTGCCAACCCCTGTGAGAGACCTTGCTGCATAGGAATACGCTGAGGAGCCAGAATTACACTAGACAGCAAAAGATCTAGCCTGAATTGTTTCCAATACCTCTCCCCAAACAACATGTAAAACTTAATGGAAATCACTCCTTTGGAATCCCAGTGATATCCAGTAAGAGAGGTGGCACTTTAAAGACTAACACATTTATTAGGTCATAAGCTTTCGTGAGATAAAACTCACTTCTTCATATGCAATAGAAAAAGAAAAAAGGAAGGGATACAGAGATGGGAGTATAACATCAGTGCTAATTAAATCAGAGTGAATGTGGCTCGCTTCCAACAGTGATGAGAAAGTGAGAGTACCTGAAGGGGAAATTGCTTATTGTAATGGAGGGATGTTAAGTAATGGTTAATTAGCTATTTGATTAGTTGAGGGGGGAAAGGGGGTGCTCGCTACCACCGCTGCAGCTCTGCATTTTAATTGTGGTAAGAACCCCCTGGGTTTTTACTACATTCAGGCTACATCTACACTGCAGGCTTTTTGCGCAAGAACAGCTGTTCCTGCACAAAAACTTGCCGGGTGTCTACACTGCATGCACGTTCTTGCGCAAGTAAATTTACAGTACAGCGTCAGAAAACAGGGCTTCTTCTGGAAGAGCTATTCCTCTCCCCATGAGGAATAAGCCCTCTTGCGCAAGAGTTCTTCCATAAGAAGGCAGTGTAGACAGGCAACATGATTTTCCTGTGCAAGAAAGCCCTATGGCTAAAATGACCATCAGAGCTTTCTTGCGCAAGAGAGTCTCCACACTGCCATGGACACTCTTGCGCAAAAGCTCATGGCAGTGTGGACACGCTCTTGTGGAAGACTTTTTGCACAAGAACTCTTGCGCAAAACAGTTCTTGCACAAGAAGCCTGCAGTGTAGACGTAGCCTCAAAGTGCAGAGCTGCAGCGAGGTTAGCTAACGGGGGTGGTGTAAGCCAGGACTAAACACTCCTGGCTCGTGACGGTTCTGGGACCACTGCAGCTCTGCCTCCCCCGAGATGGTGCTGGGGAGAACTGGCTTTTAAGCCATCTCTCTCCAACACTGGCTCCTGCTCCCCACCCTCTGCTTGCCTCTGATACAGCTGGGGGAGGGGGAGAAGTCTAGACATTCAACTACCCCATAAGCCTGTGTTTATCAGGTTGTTGATTACTTGACTAGATCAGTTTCTCTCAACTTTTTTTTTTAATATAAAGTACCCCTTTTAAAAAAAATTATAAGTACCCCCAGCATCTACAGTTTTCAACACATTTGTTTAAACAACTTAATTGTAGCCAGGCGGGTGATGAAATATTTGGGTGTAAAAAGGATAAAAATAATAAAATGCTGTAAAACATAAAACAAAAATTCAGTTTTCTCCAAATTTCCGGTGTGTTGATGTACCCCCGCCCCAGACTTATCTCGAGTACTCCTAAGGGTACCCGTGCCACTGGTTGAGTTGGACTACATGCTTAACATCCCTATTGTAATGAGAGCCATTCCATGTCTCTATTTAAAACTTCTTTTGACGGGGTCAAATTTGCATATGAATTCCAGCTCAGCCTTTCCTCATTGCAGTCTGTTTTTGAGGTATTTTTGTCTGAGAATGGCAACTTGCAAGTCAGTAACCATGTGTCCAGGGAGGTTAAAGTGCTCCCCCACTGTTTTTTGTATGTTACCATTCTTGATGTCAGATTTGTGTCCATTTATTCATTTGTGCTGAGGGAGGGGCGGAGGGGCTTTAGTGGCACATGATGGCGTATATCACATTAGCAGATGTGCACATGAACAGGCCTTTGATGGTAAAGCTGATGTGGTTAGGTCCTGTGGTGGTGTCAGTAGGGTAAATGTGTGGACAAAGTAGGCAACAGGCTGGGTTTTTCTTTCTGTGGTGGTGTGTTAAGTTGATGGCATTTGTCTCAGGTTGGGGGGCTGTGAGGATGGGCCTGCCTCCCAAGGGCTGTGACAGCGAGGGATCATTATCAAGGACAGGTTGTAGATCCCTGACAATGCATGAGAGAGGTTTTAGCTGGGGGCTGTAGGTAATGACTAGCGGCATTCTGTTGTTTTGTTGTGTCTGTCCTGTAGTAGGTGACTTCTGTATATCTGCCTGGCTTTCTCAATCTGTTTCTTCAGCTCTCCAGGTGGGTATTGTAGGGTTTAAGACTATTTGACAGAGATCCTGTAGGTGTTTGTCTGAGAGACTAGCACAAACGTAGTTGAATCTCAGGGCTTGGCTGTAGACAATGGATCACGTAAGGTGGTCTGGATAAAAAGCTGAAGGTATGTACATAAGTAAAACGGTCAGTATGTTTCCAGTATAGAGTGGTATTTATTTGCACTGTAATCTCCAGGAAGTGGATCTTTTCTGTGGACTGGTCCAGGCTAAGATTGATGATGGAGTGGAAATTGTTGAAATCCCCGTGAAATTCTCCAAGGGCCTCCTTCCATGGGTCCAGATAGTGTAGATGTCACCAATGTGGTGCAAGTAACACAGCCTCTGCATCATTTCTGTCACTCTTCTATAAGCGCCCTCTGGTCTGTCAGTATCACTGCCTCATTGTCTCCCCCTGGGCTGTAGGCACCGGAGCATTTAATTTTTCCCTCCAGCCCAGCATCCCAAAATATAAATAGATGTGCAAACACACAGACCCGAAGTAAGCCCCACACTCCAGGCACAGGGAAGAGGTTGCAATCAACCTGTAACTGTCAATCCTTATGACTGGGTTCCTGCTCCCAGGTGTTCCAAAGTCAGCTCATGCCTTGGCAAACATTTGTGGCAGTGATACTCAATGGGCGGGGTTAGATCCATAGCTAGCTAAAAGAAAGAAGTCTCAGGGAGCCCAGCCACCCTCGCATAGTGACATTCTGCACTGCAGGAAATGGATTTGCTTTTCCAGCCTCCTCCCAGCTGCAGCACCTGGAGCCTGAATGGTTGGCAGCTCTACTCAGGCCAACAAAGTGCACCCGAGCGACCTAGAAGACAGTGGCTGTCACTGCAGCTCAGTTAACAGGTCAGGCAACAGTACTAGCAGGAGTGACAGGGGCTCCCAGCCCCCACAGCTGCGTTGTAGCTGGGAAAACCAGAGAGGAGGGCTCTGCTCCTCTCTCCCTGCCACCGCAGCACAGGTAATGCTGCGGAAAGTGTCTGACTTCACTCACTTTCCACAGGCAGATAGACCAGATAACGCAACATGCCATTTCCATTTCTAAGTTGTCACTATTCAATAGAAGACTCGTCCTCCCCCAAAACAAACAAAAATGTCCCTTTGACACACCAAAAAACCAAACTAAACCAAGAATTACTCCTTCTCCCTACTCCAGGGGAAAAGGCTCCACTTTTCTTATCAAAGTTTAGCTTCTGGGGAAATAGTTAACAAAACCACTTAAACATCATTTCTTGAGCATACTTTGCCCTGTTAAGCATAACAGACACCAATTTAAGAGGGACAAGGCCCACTTTAGAGAGATTAACTTTTTACCTGCTTTTGGAACTTGTCAGAGCCAACATTGCCATAACAGATGAAAGAAAATTATTTTTCTAGTTTGTAAATTAACTTTGTAAATATCTTGTTTCTAGCCTGTTTTATTATTGTCTCAGTTAATCAACTTTCCTTTTTGCTTTTGTGGTGTTTACACATGAAAACAGGACAGCTGAAATACCCTCACTCTCCAATTGTTTTAGAACAGTAGCCACCCCCCCATCAATCGCAATTAACTCATCTATCCTTGAGCCTCAGCCAGTTG